ATCTATAGGTAGTACGGTCCATGTTGAGGAAGACAAGAAAGAACTAGCCATTGATGTGCACAAACTTGAACGATTATGAGTCTGGTTAATAGATTCCAATGAAGGTGGAGTAGTGGTGATGAATGGGTCTGAATCATTACTAGTGCCCAAAGTGAAAGAGAAACAAGACCAAGATCTTATTTTGCTTCAATTGAATGTGAATTTCATAAGCAAAAAGTGATGGCTTTTTCAACAAGGGGGAGATGGTGTATTAAGGTATCAAGGTAGATTGTGTGCACCAAGGGTGGATGAACTTCAAGAGAGGATCATGGAGGAAGCTCATAGCTCTAGATACTCTATCCATCCGATTTCCACAAAGATGTATCGTGACTTAAGAGAAGTCTATTGGTGGAATAGTATGAAGAGGTGTATTGTAGAGTTCATTGCTAAGTTCCCGAATTTCCAACAAGTCAAGAAAGAGCACCAGAGGCCCGATAGTATGACTCAGAACATAGATCTTCAGGAATGGAAGTGGGAGATGATCAATATGGATTTCATTACTGGGTTATCGCAGTCTCGCAGGAAGCATGATTCGATTTGGGTGATTGTCGATTTAATGACTAAATCAACCCATTTCTAACCGGTAAAGACTACCTTTTTCAGCAAAATATTATGCTAAGTTATATATTCAAGAGGTAGTCAGACATCGGGGAGTTCCAGTGACCATTATTTCAGTTAGAGGTGCGCAACTCACCCCACAATTTTGGACGTCTTTCTAGAAGGGTTTGAGTTTGAAGGTGAACTTCAGTACTGCTTTTCATCCTCAGACTGATGGTCAAGCAGAGCGTATGATTCAAAGTTTAGAGGATATGTTGAGGGCATGTGTGATCGATTTCAAGAATAATTGGGATGATCACTTACCTCTCATAGAATTTGCTTACAATAACAGTTATCACTCTATCATCCAGATAGCTCTATATGAGTCTCTTTATGGGAGAACATGTAGATCTCCGATTAGATGGTTTGAGATTAGTGAGGCTGGATTGATAGGACTAGACATGGTTCATCAAACTATGGAGAAAGTTAAGACTATTCAAGAAGGGTTGAAAACAACGCAGAGTAGTCAGAAATTCTATATTGATGTTAGGAGAAGTGACCTAGAGATCGAGGTAGATGATTGGGTTTACTTGAATGTGTCACGCATGAAAGGTGTTATGAGGTTTGGTAAGAAGGGGAAACTTAGTATTGGTTCTTACAGGATATTCAAGAGGATTTGCAATGTACCTTATGAGTTTGAGCTACCGCCAGAGTTAGTAGCACTCCATCTGATATTTCACATTTCAATGTTGAAGAAGTGTATGGGCGATCATTCAATTATCATACCTACTGAAGCTATTGGTATTTATGATAGTCTATCTTATTAGGAGATCATTCACTTATCATGCCAAATAGGTTGAATCAGGCAAGGTATTATGGAGGAATCAGTTTGTTGAGGAAGCTACTTTTGAGGCTGAGGAGGATATGAAGAAGAGATACCCATATCTCTTTGAGCCCGAAGAAATTCCCAATCAAGGTACTAATCCTTTTCTTGGTACTTTTTAAGTTAATTGTTGTGTAATATACATGTTGGGTGTTTGAACTGTGTGTGTTAGATGTTACCACCCTTAGTCTATTTAGAGTAATCTCATTAAGGGATGAATATTCTCAAGGGGGAGATATTGCAACATCCCACCTTAGAAGGAGTTAAATATAAAAAGAACTAATTTGGAAAGATCCAAATCTGAAATTTTACAAGCTATGCTTGAGTTTTGAGTTTTGAGTTTTGGGTCAACTTCAAACAACTATAACTTTCTGTACATGATGATTTAGGTGGCATAATATATCAAATGAAAGGTATTTAGATCCTCTTTTCAATGCCAATGATTTTACCAAATTTCGGGAATGTATCAGAGATATATGCCCGTTTGAAGTCGGCCTACCCAGTTAAAGAAAGTTACCCGAATTAATTAGGGGTATTTTTGTTTCTTCCTTATCCAATCAGCTTAAAACATTTTTTAGTAATAATTTGGGGTCAAATTAGATATTGGTCAATTTTACAAATCCTAAACTATGCTTAGGGTTTTGAGAGGAGTTCAAGAAGAGGAGAAAGAGAGAAAAGTTTAAGGCGTTCGTCAAGATTCGGGAGATTTATCGAGGGATTTCATGAAATTGAGTTATGTAAGCTTTCATAGTACTGGGTTTGTTCAGCCACATGCCAATCAAGATTTACATATTAGAATCCATGCATAAAGATTTATAAATTTGAGTTCTTGATGATTTTCTTGAACTTTGTGATCTATTGTTTAAGTATGAGGTTTCGTTGAATTCTTGTGATAAGGATCTTGTGTTTGGGTGTTGTTCTCGAGTAAATCAAAGTCTATTTAAATGTAATTATGTTGAGGCTATGAATCCATAAGATTTTGAGGGAAAATATTCGATTAAAGAGGAGTTATACATGAAACAAAGCTACAAAATCCAGAAAATTTCTGGAAAGGGGGTGGGGCGCTACGCCACTCAGTGCGCCCCAAGTAAGTGTCTGTAGGTTGGGGACTAACACCCTATGCCACTCACTAGACCACAAACAACCTTCTGTATTTAGTGGCTGGCATCCCACGCCACTCAGTGCGCCAGGGTCGCCAGGTCTCCTACCTTTTCGACCTTCTTTATTTTGAGGTCCTTTGAATCGTACCAATATTTTCTACTTGATATAAACACTCTAAACTACATATAAAATCAAGATATCATTCATAACATGAATCATAATCCTTGAATCAATAATTCAAATTCAAGGTAGATTTAATAGTAAAGTCTTGAGAGTTCTTTCGTGTCTTTTTGAGAAGTCTTTTACAATCTCTTGAACTTTTTTTAAGACTTGAGTACTTGAGTTTGAGGATGAGGAGAGTTGATTTCATTTATCAAAATGAATATATTGGAACTAAGTATTCCCAAGAGTAAATATTTTTACATTTCAAATAAGGGGAAACATGAATTTCCAAAGGAGTTCATGAGGATTTTGAGTACTTTCTACTTTAAGAGAAACTTTTTCAATAATAATAATCTCAAATTTGAGGATATGGAAATATTATATTTAATACATATGAGCTAAGTTATATTTTAGGAGTAGTATTGAGGACCGATATAGGGCATAGTTCAAACAACTAACAGCCCCCAAAAACCATGTAGCCAACGTGGGTAGAATGGGTCATACTTTTTAGGTTATTCCTTATTGATTTTTAAGCATAGATTACTGGATCCACTTAGTTTAGGAGTTCTATACCACGGTAATGTATCACACAAATCTTGGAGTATGGGCGAGACCTTGTATCATCACATAGCTCATAGTGATGGTTGTCGATTAGAGAATCTCCCAACAAAAAATATTTTGTACTTTTACATACACACTGAGTTATATTGTATTTTCAAATACATTGAGTTGTTATCTACTGTTTTAAAAGCTTTTCTTTATATCGCATTATTGTTATTGCTTTATATTGAAATGAGTTGAGACAAGGTAAGTTGTTTCTTTAGTTCCAATCCAAGCTTATGTCATGTTTAAGATTTCCCCTTGAATGCTCGTACATTCCATCTACTGACGCCCTTTGGCTTGTATCTTTCATGATCCAGATACAGGTAACCAGGATCATCAATCAACACTTCGTTGATCTAGTTAGTTCCAGAGTTGTTTGATGAGCCTCCTTACTTCCGGAGGATCCCTCATTTATGTTTTATCATTTTAATTTTTTTATTAGGATGTCGTGGGTCTTTTTCCGACGTCTATCTCAGTTAATATAGGCTTCATAGATAGATAGACTACAGTTCATGAGTATGTTTATTTTCAGTTGTTCATGTTCTAGACATGAGTTGCCTCTTTGGCTAGTGGATGTTTTATTTCTAAAATATTTTGAATTTCTATTTTGAGACAGTTGAGTAAATTTTATCTTTTGAGTTTATCTTATGTAGAGTACGTCTTCGGCTAAGAGTTGAGCCGGGTTCGCTTGGGGCCATCAATGGTTCTCGAGTGCTAGCCGTGTCCAAGGTGTAGGCTCGGCGTGAAATCAAGAATACTCATCAATAACGTAATTTTCTCAATATTGAAGGATGATTTTGATAATGTAAATCATGATTGGCATGTGGGTGAACGAACCAATCACTATGGAAACCTACATACCTCGATTTGGCAAAAAAAAATTCCCCGATTTGCAAGAGATCTTGATCATTCTTCCTTTTCTCCTCTTTTCCTCTTCTTGAACTCCTCTAAAAACCCTAAGCGTAATTTAGGATTTGTAAAACTGACCCAAATCAGATTTGACCTCAAAATATTAATAAATTCATTTTAACTTGATAGGGAAAGGAAAAGACCAAAATACCTGTCACTAATTTGGGTAGCTTTCCTTAACTAGACATTCCGACTTCAAATGGGCATATCTCCCTCATACAAGCTCAAAATTTATCAAACTTGGTGGGTTGGAAGGAGGATTCAATGATCTTTCATTTGATACTTTATGGGTCACCTAACTCATCCTGTACTGAATGTTATGGTCGTTTGAAGTTGACCCAAAATTTACAACTTAAGCATAACTAGTAAAATTTCAGATTTGGTTCTTTTCAAATTAGTTCTTTCTAAATTTAGCTCTTTCAAATACCTAGGTGTTAAAATATATCCTCCTTGATAACATTCATCCTCAAATGAGATTAATAAAAGTTGACTAAGGGTGGTAACATCTAACACCAATCTCACACACCCAACATGCAATTAACACAAAATGACATATCAATCAAAAGAGTGTTTTTACAAAAAGTCATTACCATGGTCTGGAGTTTCTTCGGAAGGAAAGTGATGTGGGTATCTCTTTTTCATATCCTTCTCAGCCTCCCAAGTAGCTTCCTCACCAAACTGATTCCTCCATAAAACCATGACTAATGCAACCTCTTTGCTCCTCAATTTGCGAACATGACGACCAAGTATCTCAATGGGAATCTCCTCATAAGATAGGTTGTCCTTAATACCAATATCTTTAGTAGGTATTATAATTGAAGGATTGCCCATATACTTCTTCAATATTGAAATGTGAAATACTGGATGAACCACTGCTAACTCTGATGGTAGCTTCAACTCATAAGCTACCTTAGCAATCCTCTTGGATATCCTCTAAGGACTAATATACCGGGGACTAAATTTCCTCTTTTTACAAATTCTCATAACACCATTCATGGGTGACACCTTCAAGTAAACCCAATAATTTACCTCAAACTCCAGGTCTCTTATCCTAACATAAGTATATGATTTCTGATGATTCAGTGCTATTTTATACCTCTCTTGAATAATCTTCAATCTTTGTATAACTTGATAAACTAAGTTTGGTCCTATCAACCCATCATTACCAACCTCAAACCATCCAATAGGAGATCTACATCTTCTACCATAAAGAGCCTTATAGGGATCCATGTGGTGCTAGAGTGATAATTGTTATTGTAAGAAATCTCAATGCCAGGTAAGTGATCATCCCAATTACCCTTGAAATCGATCACAAAAGCCCTTAACATATCCTTTAAATTATGAATAGTATGCTCTGCATGACCATCAATCTGAGGATGAAAAGCACTCAAATTTACCTTCGAACCCAAACCTTTCTGAAAAGCTTCTAGAATTGTGTTGTGAATTGTGCTGCTCTGTCTGAAATGATGTGTAACACCCCAAAATATAGTATACTCAACTAGGTCTAACTGAGAGGGACAGTGGAACACCCTATATCTAAAAAGGGGAGATAAATCAATTTTGGGAAAATTGTTGGTGCCAGTCATGACCTGACCTATGGACCGTAGGTCAGACCACGGTCCGTGGATGAGCCCTGAAAGTGAAAGTCTCTAATGGCCAACCAGGGCTCACCAGGGTTCACACCACGCTCCGTCGAGTGGAGTTGTAAGTGATCACCTTGCTAGCAGTTATTTTTAGGGGCAATTGGGTCTTTTCCAATTTTAATTAAATCAAAGTGGTGTCATTTTGCCTAAGTATAAACCCATATATAAGCATTTTTAACCCCCAAAACCCCTCAGTCAACTCATTCTCTCAAATCATAAAAGAATTCCCAAAACTCCTCTAAAATATTCTCTCTCTAGAAGTTGTAAGAAGAATGGGAAGATGAAGCTAGGTGAAGATCAAGTCTCCAATTTTGCAAGATTTTGAGGGTATTATAATGAAGGTATGATATATGTTCATCCATGGACATGTTCCATCCTTGGAGTCCCCTAGGATTTCCCCAATTTGATGAAGAATTCCCCAAATCTATTTGTGGTTTTTTCAATTGTTGTGGGTATGATGATTATGGATCCAATTGAGTAGATTGTGATTGTTTATGATAGAATAAGTATAATTACATGTTTTTCG